AACATAGCAATGAAGGGTCACCGGTGTTGGTTCCTGGCCAACTTCTTTTCATCACTTGCTTTTAGTCTTTCCGGTCTGTGTCGTCCACTTGCCGTGTAACATGAGCATCCTTGAACAGAACTCCATGTCCTGGTGCATGCCCCTCAGCCTGCAAACGATTGAATCCCAGCTTGGGAAGGGGGACAAATCGGTTCAAGCAAATCGGGAGCCTGAAAAAAGATAGAAACATGTATTTTTCGATCTTCACGAGGAGGGTTGACCTATTCATTGATCCAATCGTAGCCAAACTAGCTGCCGTAACGAATTTGACCAATGCCAGCATTGGCAATTCCCTGCCCTCCGGTTTATTGGGGGACGAGCCGACGAGCCTCACCACACCGTCGCTCCAAGTTTTCTCCGCAGACTCCATCTGGAAATGTGAATCAACATAGGGCTCTGAAAATGGGTGGTGTTCCTAGCCTTTGAGCCAAAGGCGAAAGGTCTCGACCAAAACCATGGAACCTCAACGAGGGCCCCTTTCAAACCTAGGGAGTTTTCACATCTCCTCTCGGTTGCGAACTCTGCTCCCCTGCTTAAAAAAATAGCCTTTCGTGTCTTAATGCGGAAAATCCATTGGTTGGCAAAAAGTTAAAGTCCTAACATAGCAAGATGCACCAAAGTCCTGGAGGGATGGATTGTTTTCAGAGCAGACTGGTCTTGCAAAGGCTTCCTTTCAGGTTCCATGCTGTTGGGAGGGCGTGTCGAACTCATTGCTCGGAACCTCGCATAAGTCCGAGAACAAGTGCAACTCACAAGTCCCTCACTATAGATTCTCGAGGATGTGAGTCACATGCCCGAACATACGGCGTTTTGAAAAAAAACTGCAAAATGAGGGGAGGGGGGAGGAAGCCCGATGGCGCCCATTCTGAAAAAAGACTACGGCGCAGGCATGTCAAGCGCGCCAAGTGCGCCAAGCGGCGCGCGGCCAGGTTGCTCCTCCTCCATGGCGCGGAAGCGCTCCTGAACTATTCACTCGCTGGGCGTTTTGGCGGGCGGAGCATCCCTGGAGTTACACCCAAGTTGATGGGATATGCTACGGGACACACTAGCGGCTCATTATTTTGGGGTGGAAAACGAACTGGACGTTTGTTTTCGGGGTGATTTTTCATTGGGGTTGAGGCTAGAAAACAAACTGGACATTTTTTGAGTTATTTCCCTGGCACACATAACTTTCAGCTGTTTTCATTAATTTTCACAACAATAACAGGAACTCTAATTCAAAAACGGGGCCCCTCAATGGGTGTTGACCCCGTTTGCTGTGCATTGATTGGCGGGGACCAGTCAGCAAGCCGGGAACCCTGACAAGAATGGAAGGAGGCCGATCCTCAGCTGGGAGAGACCCTCTAGCCCCAACAAAACCAAGTGCACACTCCTAACGAGTGTCAGATTCCCTTCGTTTATGGGGCACTCTCCAAAACCTGTGAGAACTGGCCGTGCAATGAGGTTCGCAGGTCGAGGCCGAGCCTTTCCGTGCTCGGCATGGCTGTATACCGATGTGAGAAAGGCTCGAAGGCAGCAGCCCCCCTACAAGAAGCACATTCTATATATATATATATATGAGTATATATATATAATGTTTGCAGTCATTTTATGAAGAAAGAAGGAAAGGTAGCTCATGGGGGCGCCTGACCATATATATGTAGACTCGGACAAGCAAGGTGGCATCGCCCCCTCGCGCCGCTCAGCATGCTGCACCAGGCACACACAAGGACCTTTTGGTGAGCACAAGGTGCCAGCATCCAGGTCTAAAGACGCATGCCTTCTCTTGGTCTCCCCAGACAGCCCAAGTACGTTCTCTTCGCTTGACTTGGGTGTGTGGATCATACAGATGTGAATCTATCAGGGCTCCCTGCATTTCCCCTCAAACGCATGAAAACGGCCCAAAAGGTGGTCCAAACAGGCTGAAAAAGGAAATTTAGGGCATGTACGCCAACGCCTGGAATCTACAGGTGTTCCGGTGGATCTGTACGGAAAGATAAGCTGGATCCTGGGTCTTGCCCCGGGCGTTGATCCCAGGATTCAGATTTCGAAACGCTGGACTTCGGCAAATTGAATAACACATTGCTTCCGTGCAGGCTTTGGAATTGATACGCCCTAGGGTGGTGCTTAATCACATAAATACATGCATCTGTTTATTCTTCTTTTTTTACACGGACATGTACATGTCAATGTCTCTCTCTCTCTCTCTCTCTCTCTCTCTCTCTCTTCACAATAAGGCGTGTCAATAAATATGTGTAAATATGTGTTTATGTGCGTTAAAAACACACACACATATCTATATACATATACATTTACATACATATATATATATATACTTGTATTATATATATATATATACAGCGCAGGCACTGTAGAAGAAAATCACTGTATAAGAAATTGAGGGGCTGAGATTGCCAAATCAAGTCGTTTGCAACTGCATTTGCTGCCAAGAAATTGAGCCCCCCTGAATTGTTTGACCAACCGATTTCTTATACAGCGCTCGCACTGTATATTATACATATATATATATATATGACTGTGCGCATGTTACATCCAAATACATATAGACGAACATAAGGGGCACTTGCAGGCAGTCAGTACGCCAATCTCCAGACAAGGTAAGTCCCTGGCGGAGCGAAGCCGCTCCTTCGCCCGCTCAAACTCCTCCAAGGTTAGGATGGCCCCGAGCTTCTTGTGCAGGCGCTGTCGTACGCGCCGCTTCAAGGCCCGGTTGGGCGCATTCGCACTCTCCTCCCCGGTGCAAAAAAGAAAAGAAAAAACGGAAGGGGGGGGGGAGGGTTAAAGCTTCCAAAGCTCACAACAAACTAACGTGGGTGCGCGAAGGAAGGACACGCGGGGTGAAGAAATGAAAGTTGGGGCAAGTGGCTTCTGGTCTGTTCGATCTAGCTGGCATGTAGGGTGCCCTCTTAAATTGCCTATAAAATGGCGAATGACTTAGCAATCCTGGACCACTTCACCTACCGAGCAATTGATGCGCAACAACGCTCACTTGAAATGCTTGATGAACCCAGTGGCAATACATGAATTCTAATTCTCAATAGCTCACGGAATAGAGCTTTGTGCTGGCTAACCTTGCTATGCCACACAACTTCCCAGGCGTTCAGGTTTCCGCTGTGAGGCTGAAACTAACTGCAGGTCAATGGCTCCCTTGTAACACTTGGCTGGGTCAGCTAGTGTCACTCTCAAATAACAACTCGGGATTGCGAATTGCGAGTCTTGGTATCCAAGACTCGTATCACAGTACTGCTGTAAGGGTTGCGGAATCGTTGAATAAGTGCTGCAGTCTAAAGGAGGGAAACACTGGCTCAAATCCAGCGTGCCCAAGCCATACAATCATGAACATTGACGAAGGACTTCTCCTCATAAGCTGGTGTTCTCAATCCGCCCTGCAAGCGTCCGCGGACAGCGGGGCCCATCCAAACTTCTGAAACATACTAGAGCCGCCATTTTACATACAGCGAGACAACCACGGGAAAAACCCTAATAGGGGAAATGGTTGTCACTGGGCCCCAAGGGTTGCATTCCCGTCCTTGGCCGCGGTCATCAGCAGCTCATCCACGGATGAGCGGCTGGCCTGGCAATGAACCAGGTCCCCTTTTTTCGTTAACTTCCCCCACTAAAAGGAAGCTCACTTCAAATGGCCCCAACAAAGTGTTGGGCTAACACTATACTTAAAAGGGGCCCATAAACTCAAAAGAAAACAACATTGTCTTTGAGGTGGCCATGTATTCTGCCAACAAGGTTGCCTCCAGTTTTGCCCAGGCCAAGTACGGGTGACTTCTGGCGAACTTGACTATCCCACTAACGCGGAACCAGTCTTGGGGATCATGTCTTTGTTGCGGCCGCTAGGCTTGTGTGCTAGGCTGCTAGGCGCAGGGGGTCGACAGCAATCCCACTCCCGTGGCATTGGAACAGGGAGTGTCAAGCAAGCGAAAAAGGATGCCACACAGGGAGACCATGGCCAATGAGAACTTCGGAAAATAATCAAACATTTCATATCATTTCATGGGCTCGTTCTAAGGGGGGGCAAGGGGGGTTACTGCAAACCAGTTAGCTTCCTGTATCTTCCATTAATTTCCCTGATCTTCCTTTAGCTTTCTTTACTTGCCTTTAGCTTCCTTTAGCTTCCTTTAATTTCCTTCAGCTTTCTTTAGCCCTTTAGCTTCCTTTAGCTTCACTTAGCTTCCTTTAGCTCTCTTTAGCTTGCTTTAAGCCTTTAGCTACCTTTATCTTCCTTTAGCTTCCTTTAGCTTCTTTTAGCCTTTAGCTACCTTTATCTTCCTTTAGCTTCCTTTAGCTTCTTTTAGCCTTTAGCTACCTTTATCTTCCTTTAGCTTCCTTTGTCTTCCTTTAGCTTCCTTTATCTTCATTTGGCTTCCTTTATCTTGCTTTATCTTCCTTTAGCTTCCTGTAATTTCCTTTAGCTTCTTTTAGCCTCCTGTACCTTCCTAAGTATTGCAGTCACTCCCCTTGCCCCCCCTCAGAACGAGTACACGATCATTGGCGCAGCGGGCTTGTACTTGCCAGCGCCATTTCGACACTTCTGGTCAAGAGCTCCGCTGACCCGGCCGCAAGAACCAGCAGGACTGATGGGACTCGGGGCATGTCTACATGGGTGCTTTTAGCTGGACGCCGATGGGAGACTTGAAGCCAAACGAAACCGGGCATCGTGTTGCAACATCGAAGGTTGCGCTCTTGCCGTCATGAGAGCAGGCAAGTCTGTTCGCACAGTTCGCCCAAAGAAGCAAAAACAAGCATTGCTTTGGACACGGGATCGCTTGCTACTACGGAAAAGGGCAAGCAGTTCTTCCGTGGGGTGAAGCACGACAAACACGGAGCTGAACTCGAAACTTCCTGTCGCAAGTGCAATTCGAGTTGCCTTGTTCGGCCCGTCTGAAGCGTTGAAATCGCCCATGGCGAGCCACCCTCACTATTGATAGATCTTGGGAGATAGAGCGGCTGCGAAGGCATGCGGCGGCAAACATTTTTCAACTGCCCAGACCACTGACAATCGGCGCCCATTAAAGCACTCTATTCATTGCCCTGTTCATCCACATAAGAGTCATGTGTTGCAACCTCCGCTGCAATGTGGGGTGCACCCCGGAACAATGCACTGTTTGGGGGTGTAGGGGCGCAATCACTTTGGCTCCGCCTCGCAGCTAGTTGCTATGCAAGGGTCACTTGGACATCAGCGGCGCGGTGGATTCGAACAAAGGTGGCATCCTAAGGGCAAGTAAGTGTCTTTTTTGCTGGTTCTCAGCAGGGAATGAGGGAATGACGCCTGCGAACCATCCCCTATGGTTGCCTTTCAGGGAAACACCCGCAAGAGAATGATCTCCTCCGACAAAGATCTTTCAGTAGATTTCTGGATGTTTTGGGACGCAAGGCTTGCCTGGCCTGCCTCGCTCGGCCACAGCAGGCACCCGCGGAGAGACACCGGGCAACCCATCCAAAAGGGACAAATGCCGAGTCCTTTGTGGCATAAACAAAGTGAGGCCAAGCACTGCCCCCAAAAAGCTGACGCATTGAATGCTCAAATTTCATGCTTAAAGCGACTATCTATGAATGCCGGGACGGGATGCTGTCAGGAGATTGTTGGTCGCATTTGACCGCGATTTCAAGTCCGGCGACTCAACCTGAGTATTTTACTCAAAGCAATCCGCCAACCACATCCAAATGATGGCAAAACAAATCCCACAGCTGCACTGCCCCGAACAGACATAAACAAGTGCCACATTGTCATTGGCAAGATGCATCACAGCAGCCCCAACTTCAAGGTCCCCAGCGCGCAAAGAAGCGCAGCAAGACACACAAGAAGCAACAAGAAACAAGAAAGCAGGCACATGACAAGCAACACAACAACCGAACATACCCACCACAAGCAGATGATGAAAACAAACACAGACCACACACGAAACGCGAAGCACAATCGTAAGAGCAGCGACACAGCGACAAAAACAAACAAACGCACACATACACACAGAGACTGAGACAAACAAAGAAACAAACGAGCGCAAACACGAGCACAAACACGAGCACAAACACGAACACACACACACACACATATATGTATATAATACATGTGTACAATTGCACAAACACACGCATGCACGCGCACGCGCACGCGCACGCGCACGCGCACGCACGCGCACACACACACACACAACAAACACAAAGAACAAAAACAAACACACGCACACACACACACACACACACACACAGACACACACTAGCTACGGTCCGAACACAAACACAAACATAACAGAACACGCTCACGCACTCACCAACAGAACTGCCACAGCACACAAGACACGAGCAAGCACGCAGGCACAAACGTACGCATGCACGGCAAGACGGCAAGCAAGCAAGCAAGCAAGCAAGCAAGCAAGCAAGCCAAGCCAAGCCAAGCCAAGCCAAGCCAAGCCAAGCCAAGCCAAGCCAGCAAGCAGGAAATAATGGAAGGAACCTAAGGACGCAAACAAGAACATGACCAAGCCAACCAACCAACAAACATCACCACACCAAACCAGGCAAGCAAGACGAGCACACAAGCAAACTCGAAAGGAAGCAAATAAGGAAATAAATTAACATCAACAAACAGGAGCAGCAGCTCCAGCAACAATGACAGGAACAAGTTCCCTTGCGTCCGGAGTTATCCCGCCTCCGCTTCCGACGCCTGCCTTACCGCTACAAGCTGGGCCTCCTCCTGGCAATGGGGCCATGTCCCAGCGGGCTTGGCAGACGAAAGAGGTTCCACCATCGTGGCTGCTTCCTACTGCAAAGCAAATCCGCCGACTGTTTGCCGCGTGTATACTTGGACCCTGGCATAGGAATAATACCGCGCTTCTTGCACTTTGTTTGCTCGTTTGCGTGTAAGCGAAAGTTCCAGAACACGCGCTGAAGTTCAACTTGCTGTGTGTTGAATGTTTTAGGCAGGCCTGCTCAAACGGTGTTGCGGAAGAGCACAGCGAAGGAAGTACACCCCCCTTCACACTGACTTGGGGGATGACATCTTTTTCTGAGGTTGACTGCAGCCCAAAGCAAGCGCACACAAACAACACAGCAGTGACAGCACTTTTCTCGCAGAGAGTGGCAATGTCATGCCTTGTCATGCTGAGCAATTCGCATCTAACAACGAAGCAAACGCAGACACACACCAATACCTCCGTCCACAGTTGAGATACTAGACACACTGACGTCAGTAAAAGAAATTGTCGATTCCGCCAGAGCGTGTGGCAAAAGAAACAACCCCGGACAATACGCGGAAATCCGGCTCGCCTGGGAAACCCCCACAAAAGTTTTGCTAGCCTTTGTGTGTGGCTAGGCACCACCACAAACATGGTACAGTTGGGTTCCTTAGGTATATGAAGCACTGCTCTCCGGTCAAGGGGCGGTTAACCTTGTACAGGACGTGCCGGCGGTCTAATAGGGGTCTGGCCACGAATTCCCCCTGCCGCAAGCAAAAGAACACGCCGCCAAGCCCACAGCTAACAATGCTGTTTGCAGCCGTAGAAGCACGAAAGCATTCGAAAGCACCCCCCAAGCCCCGGGTCGCCGTGGGAACAGGCCCGTCTGCTTCAGTCGGAATGCGGATCGAAAGCTTAACTAACCCAAATCTGTTCCACAGCTTTCTGGGTGTCCATCACAATGAGGTCGATCGAAATCCCAGCTGCCAGCCACCTGAAGCAACACTGCTGCAAAATCTTTCGCGTTTTGTGGGTTCAAGGGGAAGAAAAGATCCAATCCAATAGAAACGCGTTCTTTCAATGAAAGCGGTTGGCTGCTGGAAGGGTTAGGTGAGAGGGCCAATTCGTCCACGGTCTGAAGCTCGAGGGGCTCATGCCATGGCTCCACAGTCCTTAATGCAATGTAGCGCCACTTGAGGGTGCACAAACCTGTGGAATGGCTCACTACCCCCTCGGCATACGACGTTCTCCTCGAAAAGCAGTGGGCCAGCGCAAAAAAACAATAATCTGTCCATTCGTTTTGCCTAGCCAACATGTGGGTAGATCAAAGCAAGTAGGCCAATATTGCAAAAAACTGGGCGCTAGAGAGGGCATCTGGCAAGATTCAAATTACTCAGCCTTTTTGGCTTCCTTTACAGAAGATATCAGACAAACATAACTCTGTGCTACTTAGCACCTAGAACGCGTTCTCTGCGCTCCGTGCCTCTGCCCTCAATTTCCGGGCCAAGGCCTGCGGACGGGCTGGAAGGACAACTTGTCGAGTCCAAAGAAGGCTGGCTGCCCTTTCAAATGCTCTCATGTTAAAATATATTTATCTAGATATGTATACGCTCACCTCCCCCCGGGCCCACCTTTTCAATGATGATTTCAACAGTAGGTGTGAGTTTATATAGATAGATAGTGATATGTGTCTTTGTCGTTCGACGTCACTGACCTACATGCATATAGATTGCTCTGCTGCTAGAAGCTTAAACAAGGCCATTTAAGGTCGTGGACTTGCCTCGTGGTCCTGTCTGGCCTCCTGACCTTCCTCTCGATCACCCCCCAGACAGGACCAAGGCAAAGCAGTTCTTCGACCTGGTTGGCCCTATAGCCTTGGATGGTTGTTTGCAAGCTCAGGTCAGCGACGCGGCTAAGGATAGCCGCTTTGCGGACATGTCAGCGCCCTTTCACTTGAAGACTTCTCCTGGTATGTCATATAGTCTTCAACTTGTTGTTTTTCCTCTTTGTCACGGGCAGCACTTCCTTCTGAAGCAAACCATCTTCCCGGATCAAGTTGATTGGTGGTTTCCAGGTCCAATCCTTGCCCTTGGCAATGGCGGCATGCAGTCAGAGAATAGAAACAACAACTTCCAAGGCTTCAAAGAAGAGAACATTGAGCAAGGCTTCGGCTTTATCAGCATCTCAAAGAGGCTCGGCGGCTCTGCGGAATGTCATGAACGATGGCGTCTTGGCACCCCCTGTCTACGTCTTCCCGTGGATGCTCGGTTTTTGACCGTGATGGAGAAAATATTTCCTTACTTTAGGGCCTGCGGCAGGCATAAAGTCCCCAACGTAGGCAAGACTAGACCGAAGGGGTCATCAACGTGTTGCTTTTTGTGATTGGCCTCATCCATGCATTTCTGAGTGGATTGGCAAAAAACTCTGAACTTATTTATTGTTTGCAACTAAAACGGTCTTCCCAAAAAGCAAAAAAGTCCAGGAACTCGGGAAGTGAGTGCTTGCCAAGCCATGTGAACATGATGTAAATGAATGTCTCTTGCAAAGGCTTGGCATCCTTTGTCGCGCCCTCCGCACAGTGGGGCTGCAAAGCCTGCAAAGGTTGCGCCTCTTTTTCCGCGGGCAACGTGCCGTAGGCCTGCCAAGGACGAGAGCAGGGAACGCATCCATGAGTGGATGTCGCCAAACTGTAAACGCAAGGCCACTGCGACCAAGAGGAACAGCACCCAGTGATTCATCGATGCAAATGGATATGCCTTTGTTTGGATGGCGCCCTTTTTGTATGGTTTTAAAGTGAGACCAAAAGGACACCATACATTTGGCTGTCGACGCGTTGCCACCGGGTGAAACACAAACTATTAATGATTGAAGCAACAGGGTGTTGCTGGGTCGCACTAGGGAGTCACGCGTTTTGGGCCTGGCCCCAGGAAAGCAAAAGGAATTGTTCCCTTTCAAATTCCCTCACTCACTGCGGTGAATCATCACAGCTACAGAGTTGACTCGTTTTCCCAGCTAGGGGGGTGGTGGTGACAACTTTCCTGAGCAAATAGGGTATCTCCGTACTACATATGAAAATAAAACAACATTCAAACATTATAGTGACAGCTGAACTTGCCATCCCATCATGTGACAAGGCTGAATTGTTAGGGGCTGCCAGGAAGACAACTGGAGAGTCAAAACCTGAACAAGCGCACTTCGACCCAAACGCATCTTGCCCCCCTCATTTTTTGCCCGGGGACGCTTGGTGGAAAAACGACTCAAGTTCCGGACCCTCG